TTATTGTATTGCTTTGATATTTGCTTATGGGCTAAGGATCAATGTGTGGGATTTTATAAAGGAGAGCGAGAGAGAGAAAGACTTTTCTACAAAGAAGTACTAAAACGTGGAACATTACGTACACAAGTATTTTTGTTGTTGTTAAATAGCTTTATGATTGCAAAAACCCAATTGATAGAAAAGAGAAAGAAAATTTGAATTTTTATATCAACATTTGTTGTACTTTAGATTGCACTATGTATAATAGCCATCTATATATGGAAAATTAGGTCGTGCTTTCTCTATATAAAATATTTTTGACGTAACATGCAACATTTAACTAGTGGGGGTGTATAATGACTTTGCCTTCTACTATGATCACAACTACCACTTTTATGTGTTAAAAGTGTTTCTTTTCTGAAAGGAAATGAAAATAAAACTATATTATTGCCACTGTGGCTAAACCCTTTTGTCTTTATACTTACTTTCTAGTTTGTCTTAAAAGTTTAAATCCTTCACCAGATAGTTACCATTGGTATAATGAGTTGCTCAAATTTAAGCAAAGAAAAGACTAAATATAATCGAAAAAGAAGTCCAAGTTTCAAAGAAAGGCAAATCCAACCCAACTTTATTCAAATCTCTGTAATTACCCCTAACATTTTTAATCAGCAAGTAAATTAGCAAAATTTTGTTTGTGCAAATTTACATGCAAATTACCTCTAATATACTTGTAATTAGCAAAGTTTTAGTTTTGGTGTTACTCTATCACAAGACTATTCTAAAGATGAGACCATGAGATTATGGATGACTTTGGTTTTATACCTTACCTAGACAATGAATCTAGAGATCCTCCTCCATCTCCAACTCGTTTGGTAGTGTCAACTTCTCCATGTAAGCCTGTAGGCACACATTTAAGAAATTTCTATCAAAACCCAAAACTGAAAAATGTTACCATAATTAACATTCGATCTCACTCCTAACTCATAAGCCAAAATGTGACCATGATATGATGCTTGTAGAGCAAAAAAAATGGTTAAGGGGTGGTCTAACCTTTATCTTGACAGCGTCAGATGGGGGTGGATTTAAATCCAAAGCAATGCCGAAATGTAACACGGCTTTTTCGTATAGCTTTAGCTCTTTGTAGATTTTTCCAAGCAACCCATGGACACTGCTCTCTTGAGGAGCACAATCTTTGAGCTCTTCTAAGACTTTCTTGGCTTTGTGATAATCACCGAGGCTGATTAATATGTTAGCCTTGTAGTACTTCGGCAGCGGATTCCTAGCATCCGCGATTATAGCTTTCTCCATCATCTTCAGTGCTTCATCGTTCCTCTGCCAAAATTATTATCTCAAAACCTTTAGATATTATCTGTCTTATATGTTAAATGGCAAGCTTAATTTCAGAGCTAAATCAGAACATTCCAAAGCCATAGAGAGTAGTATATGATAGATATAAGCATGTCTTGATGTGAAGAGCGTATTTCAGGTTCCAACCTTTGATTCATGCAAAGCAATCCCAGAGTAACACATGATGACTGAAGACCGTGGATTTATCCGGAGAGCTTGTTGAAATTGGTGCTGCGCAAACTCGTATTTCTCTTGATGAAGGTAGGTCATTCCAAGACCGTACCATGCATTATAGTGTCTTGTATCTATGCTCAGTGCTCTCCGGTAGCATCTCTCTGCATCCTCAAATGCTTCCAATGCAGCATACCTGTGAAGCCAACGTGAGACCGTATGTTATTACTGTACATGTTTGGCTAGATGCAACGTAAGACGAACAAAGAGAAGCATCGAAAAGAATTATACTCGTGACCACAAAGGGTATGCGCATATGTGAATCTTTCATTCAGTTGGATAGCTCTCTGAAACATTTTGAGAGCAGTTTCGTGATCCTTGCGCAAACTGTGACAGTTCCCAAGAGCACACCTGCGATTCGCATTGCTACCACTGTCATTACAGAAGAAAAAAACTCCGAACCGAAGGAAAAACTTTGCAGTTGTAGATTTTGGAATAAGCTAGTTTCAATTTACAGTTGGTGGTTAAAACCTGTGTGATTGAAAATGTAGGTTTCGCGGAACGAAGTTGGAAAAGCATATTGTTGATAAAGATTCTAAGGAGGATATACCAGGATTCAGGAGATAGGCGGTCAATTGAAATCAGCTCCTTAGCCAGATAGCCCAACCTCATCTCTTCTTTCAAGTGCTTCAAAAACAAAGACACGAAAACACTAAAAGTAAGACAATAACATAGAAATCGTTGCAGGTTGATCAATAATCAAGTTCTAAATGCTGATATCGCAAGAAGACATATTGAGACTTGAGAGTCAATATTAGAGGATATTGTGTTAACTCGAGGGCCGTTCTTAATGATTGGCAGGAAAATTTGCAAATAATGACAACAGCTCACATAAAGAACAGTGGAGTACGTATCCATTCCTTCCAAAGCATAAGGAGACATTTGATGAGCAAGAGTAAAGACAGAGTCAGCTTTAAAGTAGTCTTGTAGCTCAAAATATGCTTTTCCAACCTATGTCAAAACGCATCTCATGTTTTATTAGTTTCAGCTACAGCTAATAAACTAATGTGTATATTTCAAGCCACTCATATTATCACCTGCAAGAGAACCCAGTGTGTGTTGTATTGTTTCTGAGATAGCTTTTGATATACCAACAAAGCTTCCTGCAGGTAGTATCCAGTATTTGTCATTTCTGGCTTCGACATTGATAGTTTAAATTTTAGCTAGAGAATTCAAGTTGAAGAATATGAACCATGAAGGTACATTTCTTAATAAAGTACCTGACAATTGTACATGAGTAAATGCCTGTGGCCATCTCCAAGAAGTTTCAAAAGGTTTAGCACTCCTGAAATTCCAGAAATGACTTTGAAAGGATCCGAGGAAGATTCGCTAGGATTAAAATTTTCCTCATTATCCACTGAGCTTCCACTGTCACTTCTAGACTGGCCTGACGTCGTTGCTGCATCATTTAGAGTAACGGTATCAGGAACCCCTGGACACATATGTTTAAGTCTTATTGTCATGAAATATATGTAAGCCAACTAAATATTTACATCATGAATTTTAACCAGAGGTCCTTTTCCTCAAGAGTGCTTTCAGAAAACAATAACCAGCTGATGCTATTGCTCTCTACCCCGGTTAAGAAGATAGAAAATACAAATATTAAAGGGAAAACATCACCTTCCTTGCTGCTTTGGATTCTGCATTTTCCAATCATCGAGGGAAGAGAAGGTACACAGTTTGACTCGGAAGGTGAAAGATGTAACCAATGGGAATCTTTTCCATATGACTGCAACATAGGTATCTTTCTCTTTGCTGCTATTCTAGCACTCCGACGACGCCCAGATTCTTCTGGAACCTTCAATATAGAAGAGTGGGAAAGTAAAAGAAGATCAATAAATCAATATAGAGCTGGAAGATAGTTACCAGGTGGAGAAAACTCTTATACAAAGAAAACAAGGAAGAATATGAGCTTATTGCAGATATACAACCTCTGCTGACACTTCTTCACTGACAAACTTATTTCGAGACTCTCCATGTACAGACATCAATCCTTCCATTGTTGGACGACGCATATTCTTATAAAGCAGAGGTGGTGGAGCATCCAATACCTGAACGATATAGATATTTAGATATAAGGAAGTATAATACAGACATTCAGAAAACTGAAGGCTTTAAGCTAGAGCTAGAACAGTAACTAATACATTCTCAATCTAGCTTGACTTAAGGATATCACCTGTGGAAGCACTGGAGAAGGTGTGTTCGTGTCCCATCCATTTCTATGAGAACTACTGTTAAGTTTCTTGTCAGTAACTGGCAGAATATCTGCTCCAAGCTGCTTAGTTTTCAGATCTTGTTGGTTCTCTCCTGGATCATGTTCTGTTTGCCATAAACTTGTATCTTTTGAAGCCTTATCAGAATTCGTAAGCTGGTCTATGAACGCTCTTTCTGAGCAATGTATTCTTTGTGCGACACAAGTTTTCTGAAGAAGCTGGGAAGCAGCATTGCCAAAAACTGTTGAAGCTTCTTCAGCGGCACCTGAAAAAGTAATAGCAGAACACCATAGAAAATACATGAATCTGTTGTTCCAGATTTCACGCTCGAATAACCGAAACATAAACTGATAAATACAAAACTCATACAGAGCTTTCACTTACCTAAACTACAAAGTTCTCTATATGCCTCCCAACACAATGGATCAAATGACAATGCCATCTTAAACTGTTGTATTGAACTTTTCTTCCTTCCAGCATATCTGAAAACATGTAACATTGAGTAAACAAATCAGAAGGTAGTACCATCAGCCTTAGCAAATGGAACATATTGGGAAAGACAAAAAAAAAATCAATATAGACTGTCATTGTTTTTTCTCTCTTTGGCATTTGTACTATGCTTCCAATTTCGAAGCATACTTAAACCAAAAATCAACTCCAGTATAGGAAAGTTATTCCATTGCAGTAAGAGATTCAGCAATATAATAAGCTTGTTACAGCACCAGTATACCAAGACAGAGAAATAGCAAAACGCTAATAAGAAGTCGTCACCTATATATAAGACCAAGAAGATAATGTCCAGCTGCACCACCAGGAACCTGCATGTTAAATTTACAGTAAACACCACTTCTCAATTTTCACTCTCAAAGTTTTAGCTTGGAAAAGAGTTGTACAGTGCCCATTGGAGATAAAGCGAACTTTAATAAGAAGAGTAAAAGCAACCATATACTTCTTCAACATATTCTTCACTGGGAGACAATGCAGCTTCAGCCTCTCCAAGAAGATCCAAATTTAAGCATGACAACGCAAATAAATACCGAGACTGAGACGTTTTTGAACCTTCCAATTCACAATGTAAAAATAAATTTAGATTTTCAAAACAGATGTAAAAATGACAAAACAAGATAAGAGATTTAGTACCTTTCAGGATATAATATGCACTATAAGCTTGACTATTACTCAAGTAACACCTAGCTAGCAATTGCAAGTTCACCTGCATCATGAAGGGGAAGTTGATCAAAATGACAAGAAAAAATAAATTGAAAAGGGATGTGAAAATTCGAGTCCAGAAATGACATTAGGCATACATCAATCAAACAAAATCTAATTGAAATGTAACCTAGAACTCCAGGTTGAACAAGCTCACCACCACAAAACCCAACAAGAGAGACATGATTGAGAGAAGTCGAAGAACAAAGTGTTCAATTAAAAAAAAAAAAACTAAATGCCGGAAGAAGAATATCACAAAATCAACCCGGAATTGTGAACAGTTGAGTCGAATTGAATTGCATCCTCATCGAGAAGAAAAAAAAATCTGATCCTTGAAAACAAAGACCCAGAATTCGACTCCGCCTCAAATTCCAGACAAATTACTTAAAAATCGGACCAGACAACAAGATCGATAGAAAAAAAGGTGCTGTGATGAATCAATCGAGAGCGAGCGGAGATTGAGACCTCAGAGGGGAATTGGGCGAAAAGACGTTCGGAAAGGAAGATCGCATTGGTGAACATGAACTGATTAAGGTTTTTCTCGACACAATTCGCCAGTAATGTCTCCATCT